AAGGCAACAACGACTGTGTGTGTCGATTAAAAGATGGAATTATCAACTGTGCTAACGTAAGCTTAACTATTTTTTTTGAACATATATGTCTTCGCATACCTGGGAAAACCAAGACTGTCCAAGGAATCGATGTGAGAAGCCGGTCGTAGTAACCTGCTGGGATGCTCACACCCCGCACGGCTTATCCAGACTCATTGGACGGAGTTGCTTATCTTTCTTCGTACCCTACCCCTTTTTCAACTCATGCGAATCGCCGCCCGAATGTTCGCTTAATTTATCGCTGGTACCACCAACTAATACGCACTGTCCATCGACTGTCAACAAACCAGCAACATCGCATTACTGTTCATTTGACGGGAACTCTGATTGTTTATGTGATTACGTATAGACACTCCAAGCATCCTTCGTTCCATTATTCTTTCCCTTACAGCTAGCGCTAGATGTTTTAATTTCTCAGTCAGCTTGTTTCGCATCTGTACGTCTTTGCTTGCGAAATAATTAATGGAATATTGAAGATACTGCAAAATTTGCCCCAAAATTGTCGTTCCTTTCTTACGTGTATTTCCCAGCTTTAGACTGTGTTCCTGCAACCAATAATATTCTCATCTTTTGTTCGAGAGGTGAAGTATACTACAATTTCTGGCTAGGCTACTAATAAATAGCGCTACTCAAAACCGATCAAGTAGGATATATTGCGCACGCTCTACTCAACCGATTAAGATGTGTCAAGATGAAAACGCCATCACACTTCAACAACAAATAAGCTGTCGTTGTTGCTGGGTTGTGATGAAGTAGTTGAAATTTTACAGTAATACTGGATAATATTAGTTGAAACAAATTCAATAAAATTTGCCTAGGAAGACTATGTCCCGCTTCGAACAGCAAATCTGGTAATTTCCACAGCTGCGGAGCCGCGAACTGTCTACTTCCAAAAGAACGATATTCTCGAATTAAAAGCTGTAAGTTGCTATATTTTGTTACGGACTGCAGATTTGTATAAATTTTGAAGCAGGCGTAAAGAGGGAGAAAGTAAATGCCGTTAAAAACAATCGCCAACGAGTCTTCTAATAAAAACAATTTAGGGCCAAATTTTACCCGGCAACGAAAAAACATTGGAGCTATTGGATTTTTCATCCAATAGGATCAGTGCAATTGGCAGCAATGCTTTTGAAAAGATGGAGAAGTTGCAGATTCTGAAGCTGTGCCATAACAATCTTACAAATCTAAACAAGTACGTCAGTTTCATGCGAACTTTCCAGGAACTAATACATCTTTCCATATTAAAAGCCGGAACCATTTCGCTTTGAAAAACTCATTAAATGTTCATCCCAGGAATTCGTTCCGCGGTGGACCGAGCTGGAATTTGAAAGAGCTCTATCTGAATGGCAATCCGTTAAAAGAACTCAATATTTTCGACGAGCTGCCAAACTTGGAAAAACTGGTGCTAGATGAAGTCACTGGCCTGGATTTCCAGAAGACGTTTTCAGGACATTCACTGAAACATTTGAAGTATCTCAGTCTGCAAAACTGTAATCTGACCTCCTTGCCAGATGACATTTTCCAGGGTATGATGTAAGTATTTATACTGACTTTATAAGCTTTACTGCACCATAAAGACGCATTACAGCGAAATCATGTCCTTCTGTGTGTACAAATTTGTGCATTTGTGTGTATTTGCGTACGTATATTTGTCTGTTTGTGTGTGCAGGTCAGGTTCAAGCTAATTCTCCATCTTCAGGAAGTGCGTTGCTTCAGTCCTTTTACAATTAAAGAACACCTTCACTGCCTAGCATACTTCAATTTTCATCTCAGCCGACCAAAATAATTCAATATTCAGATATTTTTGACGCAAAAAATTATCATTTAGAAATTTGGAGTACCTATCGCTGAGCGGCAATCCACTAAAAGCAGTGCCTCAGGCAGTCCAGGATATTCCAACTCTAAGAACACTCAACCTCAGTCACACAGGCATTGAAGAAATTCAAACCGACGCGTTCGTGTATAGTCACAATCTGAAAGAGCTGTACATGGAAGAAAATAAGAATCTCCGTGTCATCCACGAATGCGCTTTCTGTGGCCTAACTTCTTTACAGGTATCACTTCCCATAAAATCTCCGAACAAATATCTCATATATTCTGCAAAAAACCACTGAAAAATATCTCACATCCGCATAAGCGCGGCGGCCATTTGATTCCCCACGCTACTAGTCTATGCTGTTTACTTTGATTCTTTTAAAATTCTTGCTTTCGAAATGCACGAATTATTAAACAGTCCTGGGATTTCGGTACAGGATAAGGATTTTTGTTGCCCAGACTTTAAATAATTTGCAGCATGAGCCCTCAATCCATCAAGATTTCAAGTGATATTCCAGAAACTCGTGCTGAGAGGTTGCTCACGACTCACGCAAATCCACGATTCAGCATTCTGTACTGATGAATCAAATCTCAGAACACTTGATGTAGAACATGCGCGTCTGTCATCACTGCCAAGTTCACTGAATCTAGAAGTTGCTGAAACATTGAAACTGGGTGGAAATCCATGGAACTGCACGTGTTGGCTCGCTAAAATCAACGAACACCAAATTGATCTCAGTAATGGCAGCATGCCGCCAAGGTTAAATCATATCAAATTGCATTTGCTATTTCCGGGACTCAAACTGAAGTAGCAGAGGTAAAATTATCCGCAGTATCGTTTTCAAACTGTCACCCGAACAAAAAAAATTTACGTCTTGAAGCTTGCAGCTGAAAAAAGTGACACCTGTGCACCGGTCTACCAGATAACTAGAACGCATCTGCTTTAAGAATTGTCCGGAGGAGAAACAGCCTTGTCTGCGATTGCTTACGTATAGTAAAAATGGTACCAAGCAGCCAGTATCGGCTCTGCTTCTCTTAAAAAATTAAATGTGCGGGGGTTTTCCAGTCTCGATCTCGCAAAAAAACAAAATTAATTATCGCCTAGATATCCGATAAATTGGAAGTTTCGATAATAATGGTGTTACAGTATGCCCAACACGTCCGGCGCAGCTATCACCAAGCCGTTCTGTGACCACGTTACGAAGCATGGGTGCTTAAGTGGTTGTCTTGCCTCACAAGCATACCACGAACAGCAAGCAGTGTAGGTCGTTTTCAGTAAGATGAGCAAACTGCCCTGCTCATCAGACCCTACTTTTTCGCGCGGCCGCACCGATAAACTGTACAGCACTAATCTTTGTGGAGATGTGATTGCTTCTATGGTCACAAAAGGGCAAGCCAAGCATTCTTCGCTTCATCACTGCCTTCATTACAGCCAGCGTTCACGCTTTACAGCTTTCTGCCACGTCTCGCATCTCCATGTCGTTATTTTCAAGAGGGCAGGAAAACATAAATTTTGAAAAGTATCACCATAAATGCTGATTTATAAAGATTTAAACAACAGCTGTTAAGATGTCATTGGCCACTGTCACTACGTGGTGAAAGAGTGGACTTCATCAGAACATCAGATGTTTGCCCTGAAACTCATGGCATTGTTCAGAAGATACGCGTCGTTCTTCTACTACTTTCGATCGTTTCGGTTTTCCTTCTCATTATTTACTGGATAAGAAGACACATTGTCAATATAGTGATGTTCAGTGATGGGTATACCAAGTTGCAAAAAAATCCAGAATTTGTTTAATTTGTGTTCCCCCTCATTTTCTGATCTTCTTACCCGATTATCCATAAGCGACACTGCCTCACATCGTATTTGTTTGTTTTGGTAATTCTCACACAACCGTTCCCTACTCTCAAATTCTGCTGCTTTCGTAATTCTGAA